AAAAAAAAAAAAAAAAAAACAACCACGTCTTAATTTGAAATCTTCTGTTTTATGGTTAACTTTTAATCATAAGGTTACATGTATTATATTCATACATTTCAAAAGATGAAGAAATGTAACAGCGAAACTCTTTACCAATAAAGAATTGCATTTTGTTTTCCTTAATGCTACTACAAAAGAGTTACATGTTTTCTTAAGTAAAAAATACCATACTACTAGAATATTTACACGAAATATAAATTGTTTTTCTAATGAAAAGTTTCATTTTTATAATGTATCTGAGGTAAAAAAAATTCTTACTCTTTATCTGTATCTCCTTCACTTTCTTCTTCATGATCAAAGCTCCATTTACTTTTAAAACCTCCATCTCTCTTAGATTCTGATCTAGCCAAAGCTGAAATAAAAACAAACTGAGATAAGTATTCACTAATATAGCTATTCAATACAAAACAAAGTCAAGCATTTCCCAAGTTCCTTGATTAATCTAGATTTTCTTTTAATTTGCTTGCCTTTTATCTATTTCTTATAAATATATTATTTCCTCTAAGAGAAAAAGGACACATTAAAATCTATTTTTACTAATTTATAGGCATCCATACATGTGTATTTGCTAGGCTCAAATTAGTTAAGATATAATAATAAAATGGAGGATAGATGATTATGTATGATTATATAAATTGGTCCTAAATTTCAAATTTTGATCACTGACTGTAGAAATTAGTACCTCTAAACAGTCTGCTTGCCTTATTTGTAAGAACTATATCTAGATCACTAGGCTCTTCCTTAAACTCAATCCTCCCTGCCTTTTAATAGAAGAAAAAGCAAACAAGGTTTTCTGTGTCAGCAATATGGTTAACTTGACAACTAGAAAAACTAGATTAGAACACCAAATATGCTCTTTCCAAGTTAAAAGGTTTTTATAAATATGCTGCTAAAACCCCCTGAAACCATAAATATCCAGAAGGTGAGAACTAGAGAGACAAATGAAGTCCAAAGCTCCAAAGCTGGCATTTCTCTTGGTGCCATTTAACAAACACCTGATATCTGAGAACCAGGACTTTAAAAAGATTAAATTTGGGGCCCTAGTGGGATGAGAGGTCAAAATGAAAACCAAAGACCTCAAGGGCAACAGTCTGACTAGAAGAACTAAGAAAAAGAAAAGAAGTTCACAGAAGAAAGAGACAATAGGGATAATTGCAATATCTTACCCATGGCTCTGGGTTTTTGACTTGAACTAAAGACAAAGTGTATCCACTCTATGGTCAGTGCTTTGTCTGAAAAGACAGTTATTTTTTTTTTTTTTTTGGAAAGTAACAAGTATTGGCTAAGATGTAGAAGAAATCAGAATCCTTGTGCATTGCTGATGGTAATAAAACAGGGCAGCCACTGTAGAAAACAATGAGGCAGTTCCTCAAAAACTTAAACACGGATGTAACATATGAACCAGCAATTCCCTTTCTAGGTATATACCCCCAAATAGTTGAAAGCATGAATTCAAACAGACATGTACACCAAGGTCCACGGCAGTATTATTCATGATAAGCCAAAAGGTACAAATAACCTAAATGTTTATCAACAGATGAATGGATAAACAAAATACGAAACGTGGTATGTAGGTACACCCGTATACCACACACACAGTGAATTAATTCAGCCATAAAGAAATGAAACTTGGATACAGGCTACAACACGAGGGACCTGAAAGCATCACAGTAAGTGAAACATGTCAGACGCAAAAGGACAAATACCATATGATTCCAGTTATATAACATACCTGTAAGACAGTGGTTCTCAACCTTCCTAATGCCTCCTAAATGCCATGACCCTTTAATACAGTTCCTCATATTGCAACCATAAAATTATTTTCATTGCTACTTCTTAACTATAATTTTGCTACTGTTATGATTCATAATGTAAATATCTAATATGCAGGATGTATTTTCATTGTTACAAAGGGGTCGTAACCCACAGGTTGAGAACCACTGCTTTAAGAGAATAGGTTAGTAAGGCTGGGTGCAATGGCTCATGCCTGAAATCCTAGCACTTTGGAAGGCTGAGGCAGGAGGATTACTCGAGCCCAGGAATTAGAGACCAATGTGAGCAACAAACTGAGACCCTATCTTTAAATTAGCTCGGTGTCTGGGAAGCTAAGGCAGGAGGCTGGCTTGAGCCCACCAGGACTTTGAGGTTGCAGTGAGCTAAGCTGGGGGACAGGGCAAGACCCTATTTAAAAAGAAAAAAAAGAGAGAACAGGTAAATTTAAAGAGATGAAGAGTAGACAAGAGGTTACAGGGCTTGCTGGGGGTAGGAACAGACGTAGAAGTATTGTTTAATAGATAACTGTTTTTATTTGAGATGATGAAAAAGTTCTCAAGTGGATAGTGGTGGTAATAGCAAATATATTTAATGCCAATGAACTATACAAATGTATGCTTAAAAACAGTTACAGTGACAAATTTCATCTACATTTCATGACAATAAAAATGCTTTTAAAAGGAAGAAAAGGGGCTGCGCCCATAGCTCAGTGGGTAGGGCGCCAGCCACATACACCAAGACCGGTGGGTTCAAACCTGGCCTGGGCCAGCTAAAAAAAATCCCCAAAAAACCAATGGCAACAACAACAAAAAAAACAACTGCAACAAAAAAAATAGCCAGGCGTTTTGGTGGGCACCTGTACTCCCAAGCCACTTGGGAGGCTGAGGCAAGAGAATCACTTAAGTCTGAGTTTGAGGTTGCTGTGAGCTGTGACACCACCGCACTCTACTCAGAGAGACACCTTAAGACTCTGTCTCAAACAAACAAACAAACAAACAAACAAACAAAAAAGGAAGTAAAGGGCCTAGAGAGGTGGCTCACACCTCTGGGAGGCCAAGGTGGGTAGACTGCTTGAGGTTAGGAGTTCAAGACAAGCCTAAGCAAGAATGAGACCCTGTCTCTACTAAAAATAGAAAAATTAGCTGGGTGATGTGGAGGGTATCTATAGTCTCAGTTACTTGGGAGGCTGAGGCAAGAGGATCAACTGAGCCCAAGGAGTTTGGTGTTGCTGTGAGCTATGATACCATCGCACTCTACCTAGAGCCACAGAGTGAGACTTTGTCTCAAACAAAAATATAAATAAAGAAAATAAAAGGAAGAAAAGCTTCAAAATGACTAACAGAAGCAAACATGAATGCTCTCCAAAATACATAACATTTCAATGCAAGCCCTGAAGGAGTTTCAAAAAATATCATGAAACAGGAGGAAACAAGTCATCAACAGCAAATCTGAAACATGTATACTGAGGTTGAAAACATAAGTAAATAAAAAGTACGCCTGTCAGAGAAAAAAGTTACAACTAAGCAAGAGGAAAAGCTACAAGGAACCCTGTGATGCTGGATTACAGTCAGAATTCCGTCATTGAACTCATGTTTGTTTAACACACATACAGGTGGATGTGTGTTTCTAACATGAGTTAGTACACAGAGCTACGGCTCTGTACTCTGACAAGGTCTAGTTGATGCTGCAGTAGCAATGAGCGCACCTACTGCCAGATCTTGGTTTGTAGACACTATTCTCTCCTATAAAAGGAGCCAGGGCTCCTGGGAGAAATGACTGATTGTACAGAAGAGGCAGGAAAAATAAGATGAACATGGAGTACTGTGCAATGTCAGAATGCAAGGAACTTCTTTTTGAAAAAAGGAAGAGATGAGGCATGTCAAAAGGTTACAGAAACCAATCTGAAAGAACCCCAAATACCTAAAGTTGGAACAATTTTAGCAAAAATAAATAATAATGGCATTGGGTTATAACTCCTGAATAAAATAAAACAGCTGGGCATTGTGGCAGGTGCCTGCAGTCCTAGCTACTTGGAAGGCTGAAGCAAAAACTTTTGAAGCCAAAAGTTTGAGGTTGCTGAGAGCTATTACATCACGGTACTCAACCCCAGGGCAGAGAGTGAGACTCTGTCTCAACAAATAAGTAAATAAATTTAATAAAACCTGGGCGTGGTGGCTCACACCTATAATGCCCGCACTTTGGAGACTGAGGCAGGAGGATCACTTGAGGCCAGGCGTCCAGATTAGCCTGGACAAAGAAACCTTTTTCTAAATAAAATTTTTATCCTATATAAAAATTTTTAAAGATTAGTCCAGCATTGTGGCACATTTCTATGGTTTCGCCTATTTAGGCGGTTGAGGCAGAAAGATGGCTTGACCCTAGGAATTTCAAGTTACAGTTAAGGAACATATATTTAGTAGACTGTGAACACAGTAGACTATGAAAAGAAAAATTTTATAAGAAAATCATCATTTGGGAACTATTTTACTAATATCTGATCAGGCAGGAATCATCAACAGGTGCTAAAACTCGTGGGTAAAATCAATAAGAAACAAACTGTTTATACTGTCTGAAACCATCTCTCCATCTTTGTAACTAATAACGGTAACTACAAAGATGGTAACTTTCAGTAGAGAAATCTGACAAACACCACGTAAATTAACTAAGTGATCAAAGTTACCTTTACCAGTAATAGGATAAACTGGCATCATGGCATCTAAACACTACACACTGAGAAGGACAAAGATCATTCGTATGACATTCCTTGTTAAAAAAAAAATGTATAACCTGACTCTAATCATGAGGAAAAGTCAGATAAACCTAAACTACAAAATAATCATTCTGTTTACTTTAAAATTGTCAAGGTCACCAAAAGCGAAGAAAGCCTGAAAAGCTATTTCCAGATTAAAAGAGGCAAATAAATGTAATACATGTAATTACAAATAAATGTAATAGATGATACTGTATAAGATCCTGAACCAAATGGTTTTTCTCTTTTGCTATTAAGAAACATTTTTAGGCTCGGCGCCTGTGGCTCAAGCGGCTAAGGTGTCAGCCACATACACCTAAGGTGGCGGGTTCGAATCCCCAGCCCGGGCCTGCCAAACAACAACGATGGCTGCAACCAAAAAATGGCTGGGCGTTGTGGCGGGCGCCTGTGGTCCCAGCTACTTGGGAGGCTGAGGCAGGAGACTCGCTTGAACCCAGGAGTTGGAGGTTGCTGTGAGCTGTGATGCCATGGCACTCTACCCAGAGGGATAGCTTGAGGCTCCGTCTCAAAAAAAAGAAACATTTTTAGGGCTCAGTGCCTAAAAAGCACAATGGTTATGGCGCCAGCCATATACACCAAAGTTGGTGGGTTCAAACCCGGCCCGGGCCTACTAAACAATGAGGACAACAACAAAAAAATATCTGGGCGTTGTGGCAGGTGCCTGTAGTACCAGCTACTTGGGAGGCTGATGCAAGAGAATCATTTAAGCCCATGAGTTTGAGGTTGCTGTGAGCTGTGATGCCACAGCACTCTACTGAGGGTGACATAATGAGACTCTGTCTCAAAACAAAACAAAAACAAAAACAAAC